GAATTCTGGGAGTTGAAGTCCACACGTCTTAAAGTTGCCGAGGTTGAGAAACACTGGGTTAGAGAAATGAATTGCAAGTATCAGAATTATAAAGAAAGGCACAAAGTTCTTCACTTACAAAACACGCACACACACACAAGTGCACAAGTATAGAATGGAAGATACCTGACTTGGTAATGGTCCTTGTGAAAAAGATCTTGGAGCAGTACTTCATTGTAAACTGAATATGAGCCAGTGATGTGGCAGCAAAGAAGATAAATACAATTTTGGTCTGCATCAATTTAAATATAATTTCCACCTCACGGGAAGTAATTGTTCCTCTCTGGTCTGTTTTTGGTCAGACCTCACCTCAAATATTGTATCCAGTTCTGAACACCATATTTTAAGAGGGATTCAGAAAAATTAGAATAGGTTCAGAGAGGAGCAATAAAGGTAACCTGAGGATTAGAAACTAAGATTTAGTTTAGAGCTGGGTATGTTTAGCCTTGAGAAAAGACAACTAATGAAGAATATGAAAGCACTCCTCAGATCTGAACAATTGTCACAAAGAAGATTGGGACTGATTCTCTCTCATTCCAGAATTCAGGACATAGAATAATGGATTTAAGTTCCACGAAGGCAGATTCTGAATGAAAGAAAGAACTTCTGAACAGTAAGAGAAATTCACCAGTTCAATCAAATTACCCAAGAAAATAGTGGGCTCTTCTTCACTGGATGTATTCAAGCACAGGCTAAACAGCCTTCTGTGATGGATGCTTTAATTTGGCTTCCTGCACTGAGCAGGGGAACAGACTGGGTGGCCAACTGGCTCCTTCCAAGACTGAGACGGAGTGCCCGTAGTACAGGCAGTCCTTGACTTACAACCACAATCAGGACTGGAACTTCCATTGCTAAGCGATGCAGTCGTTAAGTGAGTCATGCCCAATTTTACGACTTTTTTTTGCTGTGGTCATTAAGCGAAGCACTGCAATCATTAAGCAAATCCGGATTCCCCCACTGACTTTGCTTATCAGAAGCCCCTTAGGAAGATCACAAATGCCGATCACATGACCCCGGGATGCTGCAACTGTCATAAACACATGCCGGTGTCAAGTGCCCAAATTTTGATCACATAACCATGGGGACACTGCGACAGTCGTAAGCGCAAGGACCAGTAGTAAGTCACTTTTTTCAGTGCCATCGTAACTTCAAATGGTCATTAAATGAATGGTCATGTCAAGCACTACCTGTAAAAACAACTGAATGGTAGGCACAATGTGTAACAAAATGCCCATTTACCAGAAGACAGACTAGTGAGACTGCTCTTCCCAACCAGCCTCCCATGATGCTCTCTATTCCCTCAGTTTTTTTCTGGGCAAGTAAGCACATTTCCAACAGTGGTCTGAAGTCCACTAACATTTTTTATTTTTTAAAAATGCATGCAAGGTATATGTTGGACCAGAAGGATTAACAGAAATAAAATTTATGCTTAAGACTGGCACTCTGTTCCATAGACTACTAGTTTTAATAATAATAAGATACATTTTTGAACACAGAAAGTATAGGACTAATACTGTGGGTACTATATTTTTGACCCAGAAGCATTTCAAGAAAAAAAAAAAGAGTAGATACAGCCATCTGTGCAGAAGAAAGACAGTGATACACTGTGGTTACAATGCAATCTGGGAGGCTGGAGTATTTGGGGGGGGCAACCCTAGCAGTCTTCCTTCTGCTAAAATTATTATTTTATTTATTTATTAGATTTATACCGTGCCTTTCACCTTTTGATTGACCATGCCTACCAAGGCAAACATTTTGTGAAAATGCCTATAGTATACAATTAAAATATGAACCCTGTCCTGAATGCCAGAAAGACTTTTAAAACCCTATAGCATTTTATACGCACATACTATCTTGATTATTTCTATAACCACAACATTAAGAAAATGTATGCATTTTACCAATAGATAAAAGAGGCAATATTAAGTCATTTTTGCAAGGAGGAAGATTACACACATTAGCTATGACTGGACAGGTATCTGCACTGCTCCTTCCTTTGTGACCAGGGAAACAAATACAGAAGCCAAAATATATAGCTTCTAGTATATCTGAACCAGGTTTATTGGCTTTCAGAAAAATCTTGATATTAAAACATGGTTCAAAACAAGTTTAATAGGCCAACTTCCTAGAAGCCACTGTTTCTGCCTTTTAAGAGAACACTTAATTTGTAGAATCTGCATTCTACACGATTTACTACAAGAGACTTACCTCTATTTTTTTCTTTTCTTCCCCAATTTTGGAAATAAATGACTCCCAAGAATCAATCTGTAACTTTGACTGAGGCCTTGCAGAATGACTGGAGAATGATATAATGTAGTTTATGTAATTTGATACTTTGATATTAATTAATCCATTCATAAAACTTATATCCTGCTTTTATAATTAAAAATAATTCCAACCATGAAATGACAGTCTAGTAATTCAATCTATATAAATAGCTGCTTAATATATTAGAGTTTGCATTCTTTTTTCTACAAGCATTCTTTTCCAAAACAAGTTTATGGAGCTGAAACATAAAAAGTAGGTCCTCATATTATTTGAAAGGCAAGACTTTTTTGGGAAGGAAAAAGAGAAGTCAATCAAGGTTTTATATAGGTAAGATTTAGGACAAAACAAGACAGCATGACCTAGGCAGAAAAAAAGAAAATTCTGCTTTGCGCCCCATGAACTGCCTGAGTCAAAAGAGCTTTCTCAGAGGAAAAAAGTACTGCAAAACCCTAAAATCGTATGTGTTGGCCTTCCAAGCATCAAAAGGAGTTATATCAGTTTCCAGGAAAAAAATGGCCAGCGCAAATTGTTAACAAATGTTTTATCAACTGACATACTCATTTCAGGATAATCTGAACGATTGTGATAGTGCTATAACTTGCTGCCAGAGTCAAATTCAGTGAAGCAAATACACATATACATAGTTCACAAATCACATTATTTTTCTACGCTGCAACCTACAACAACATGAAGAAATTTTAGTAACGGGTATGATTTGTTAGAAGAAGAATTAGAATCTAACGCCAAAAGCGAATGGTGAGCAATTTGGTAGAGGTTTTCAAACCTTTTCAGGTCATAGAACCTGTTAGTTAAAAAATCAAATTTCCAGGGATCCTTGATCAAGAGGTGACTCTAATGAAAGAAAATCAGCTGCATTCAGATGAAGGTGGGTTTTCTCCCCCCTTCAGTCTCTTACAGATCAAGTTCTCATGGACTCCTAAGGTTCCATGGACACAGTTTCAATCAAAATCCCTGATTTATGCTACCATTCAGGATCCTTTCACAATAACCACATATGCAATAGAATATTTGTATATTCTAAACGATACCTGGTCATGAATTTTAGATATTTAAGATTGGCTTTGGCATTTGCTGACCTTCTGCATAATTTATATAATTCCATCTCTTTCCAGTTTTCAAGTACTGACACCTGAAATAAAATTAATTTAGCATAAATCTAAACATCATGCTGGAGAAAACAGTGTATCATATTAACTCTGTAACACTAGAATACAACTAACCCCAATCACTTATGACACTATTCTTTTTAATTACTGGAAACTGTGATGTTGAAAATGTAACAGCATAAAAATATTTTAAAAACCAATACAGGGCCAGTAACAAACTAAAGACTAAAACAGTTAATACCAAAATTGCATATGTGTTCTAAAACTTACTCTAAATAGTAACATTTTGATCCAAAAACTAAGGGAGGGGTGGACAATTTGCCTCTTGCTTGCAGCCCTCAGGATGCTGAGTTCTGACTACCAAATTTAGGCAGCAAAACAACTGAATTTTAGGTGGATGATTACAGGCCATTTTCTAGTGTTCTAAGAACTGGAATGGTAGCTGTTTGCTCCCCCTCCCCCTTAAACCCCACCAATCATGCCAAAAAAGTGGTCTGAAAAACAGGCCAGTTCAGTCCATTTTATTATTATTATTTATCCGTGAGGATGGTAGCTGCTGATTTGTCCATATGTAATTATCAATTCTTCATTATTTCCCTCTCCCTTAAGTCAGTGCCAAGGTTGCAGTGGAAGCCAGTTGTTCCCAAGCCAGAGATGGCTATTATAAAAACATACAATAACCACTCGGTATCAAGACCACCAAGCGCTACACAAGTATTCTATTACTTTAGAGAGGCAGGAGGAAAAAGTCACAACTTTAAACCTCAACACTTTGTGAATTACTGCAAGTTTATCACAGAAGCTTGTAATAAAGTTTCTGTATCTGCCAGCTATTCTAACTCTGAAAGGGAGGAGGACTTGATGGGGAGGAGTGAGACTGCATGAGCGATGAGAGAAATAGAGGCTTTTTCACTGAAAATGAGAGGAGAATTCTGAAATGGGGGAGGTTCTCAACAAGGAAGAAAAGGCGCCAGGAGTCATGAAATGTCTAAAATGGAGGGAGTACCTGTTGATGAAGAAATGGAGATAGAGCTATGGAAGACACCTCTCCTGCAGCTCAATTCAGAAGAAAGGAAAGAGAGAGAGAAATGATCCTTCCAAATTATGGGGGAGAGGGATGGAAAATGGAATTGGGGGTGGGGGGAAGGGTGTGAGGGTTAAAGTGGGAACCAGCAGCTCCTGACCGGAGATGTCCATTATGTAAACATACAACTGCTGGGCTTCAAGACCAACTAGCACTGGGTCAACTATCCATTAATTTGGACAGTAAGGAGGAAGAAGCCACAAGTTTAAACCCAAAGGCTATAAAAGTCATTTACATTTTCTCACTGGCAGTGGGCAACCAATTCTTACATATGACTTCCTTCTTATCTACAATAAAGATTTCAGCTGGCCCAAGCTGCTTCTGCCAAGTTTGGTCAAGATACTGAACAAAGCCATGAAAAGTCATGAGAAATGTGATTTGCTGATGAGTCCTCGTGGGGGGGGGGTGTCTGATAAGAGTATTACTTCAAGTGTGTAATTTCTAGACAAGCATGATAAAATATTATGAAGACAATGAATAGTTTGCAGGAATCAGAAATATGTTCAAGTAGCATCATATATTTTACCTCTGCTGCTATTGCTCTTTCAACACATTCTTGCTGGTAATCCTGGCTCTTCTTTATAAGTTCCTCCATTTTTACTTTTTCACATTCAAACTTATTACTGAAAAGTAAATTTAAAGACAGTTTAACATATGCTCAGACTTCTATGTGCATGCACATCATGCAAAGCAAAAAATTAACTCAGTATATAATTACTTATAAATTTAAGTAGCAACACATAATTGAAGTTTAATTAGAACACAGCAAACATGTTTAACCTGATTTATAGAGGGCCTTTTTCACTTTATTTCTTGACAGGATTACAACTTCCTCTTTGAAGGCTTACGACTGCACTCTTCACAAAGTAATTTCTGAGTATTCAATGGAGAGTATACATCTACCAAACCCTATCAAATGATCTGGGAAAGCTTTTAAAGTCTAGCTGAAGATTAATTAAATAAAGCAAATTTAAGCCTACCTGATCTCCAGAAATTCATCCAAATATGCTTTGTACTGTTTATCCTTCTCATCAATATTTCTCATATATCTGTTTTATTACATAGATATGTTTTAGGAACAAGCAATATCATAGCATATAGATATTGAATACAATATTTCTTAACTATATTAGAGTATTCAGTTTCTTTCCCTTTTTTGTCAACACTCAACATTAGATAACCAGCTTATTCCATAAGTCATATAAGAAAATACTAAAATCAGAACTAAATCACAGACAGCGTAATATTCAACAATATGAATTATGTATGATAGCTAGCATTTTTCAAAGACCAGTCAGTATATATAAAGGGAAATCATTCAGCCTATTTTTTGACAATATCACAAACTTTGACCATACATAATAACATTAATCAAACGTTGGTAGCTTCAATTTAGGTGTTATTTGTGCATGTGGAAGTTGCTGCTTTTATTGCTTGCTGTGCGAAGTTTTTACAAAAATTACAGAATTGTTACTTTAGCCAATTGTTCTGGCAGGTAGTATTCAGCATCTATTACTATCATAACTAACTTTAGTAGTCCTAGGATAAAAATATGAAGAAGCAAGGAGCTTTTTTTCAAGTTTTTATTATTTTGTATGATAGAACATTGAACATGTCTCAATTTTTGTTCTGCTGGAATACAATATCACTAAAGTAGTTTGAGAAGTTTGGTGTACTGGTTAAGGTACCAGTCTAGAAACCAGGAGATTGTGAGTTCTAGGGCTCCTTCAAGCATGAAAGCTGGCTGGGTGACTTTGGGGCAGTCACTCTCTCTCACACCAACCCACCTCACAGGGTTATTGTTGTGGGTAAAATAGGAGGAGAAAGATATGTTTGCTGCTTTGAGTTGAGCAAATATGTATGTATGTGTGGCAGGATAAAAATCTAGTAATGATGATGATGATGATGATATAGTTTGAAGGCAAGTTTTGAATGGGATTGTTTTTCTCTGAGGTTGAATAAAAACCATGTTATTTTTTGTGTAACTCCCTGCTAATGCAGGTGATCCTTGGGTTACGACCACTCATTCAGCAACCATTCAAACTTACAACAGCACTGAATGAGGGCGACCTACGATGGGTCCTCAGAGTTCCAGCTATCACAGCAAGCTGCGGTCATGTGATCATGATTTCCAACGTTCCCTACTGGCTTCCCACAAGCAAAGTCAATGAGGAAGCCAGCAGGAAGTTGGAAATTGTGGTTCGGTGAGGTCTTCACTTAATAACCTGCATGGTCCCTTATTTAACAACAGCAACGAGGACTGCCAGGATTGCCATCGCTAAGTGACATGGTCATATGATGTCACACTTTACGACCGTGTCGCTTAGTGATGGCAATTCTGGTCCCAATTGCCATTGTAACCCAAGGGCTACCTGTATTCAGAAACAAACTAAAATCTGCAAAAATATTTGGATTTGAAGTCTATACACCTCCTCACCACCTAAATGTGTTTTCATTTTCAGAATAAACTTACATTTCATTGGTTTCTACTAGCTTCCTGACTTTATTTTTCCCTGCTTTTAATCCTTCTTGATTTTCTTTTTTTTCTTGTTGCCATTTTTTAAAGTTCACTTCTGCATCTTGATGAAACCAATCCAATTCTCTCTTGCTGAGCTATAAAACAAACAAAAAAATTATTTTAAAAAACCCCACATAATAAGTACTATCTTAAAACAAGACATCTGAGTTTTAATTACGAAAATAGTATTAGGTATTATTTGGAAAACTTTTTAAAAAACAGTGATGAGTAAAATTATTAACGTACATCTGAAAGGAAAAAAATGTTGCCTAAGCTAGGTGCTGTAGCTAAGGTTTCTATTATCCTATCAGTTACTTACGATTTTTTAAAAATACTTTTGCTATGCAGCAAAGTGACTCTCTTTATCTTCCATGTTGCAGTGAAAAAAGCTTTAAAATAATCTCATTTCAAATACAGACTGAATTATAATGGTAAAGTTTTTCTTAGCAAAAGATTAAAAAGCCATGAAATACAGCTAGCCCTATGACTGTACAAACAATAATAGTTACAATGGTGTTGGTGGCCAGATTTCTTTCCCTTTATATGTATAATTGCTAATGATGGAAAATCATTACCTTGTTTCCTTCAACAAGTAGTAATAACTCCTCCTCTAAAATACTGGTCTCTTTGGAGCTTCGACATTTAAGTTGTTCATATTTTTCACTTGCTTCTTTAAGTTGTTCTTGTAGTACGTGATGTTCTTTCTCCATACGCAACATATCTCCCTGCAAAATATGAGTGTTACATCATACATTCCTACAATGCTTTAGTCAGTCTACATAACCATAAGAAGCAACAATAACTAATTTAAGATTATTACTGCTGCCATAGATTAAAATGTAAACATTTTAATCTATAAATATTCAGGTAAAAATAATCTGATAATTTAAAAGCTGTGTTAAAGAAATACCAATTTCTGCTACAAACATCTGATTTCCTCTCCCAATAAAAAACAGGAACTTAAACAGCAAGCCAGCCTTTAACGTGATCTTACATATTACACATATTCATCCAATTTTGAAAGCTAACCAAACAAATGTACTAAGTATTGGCAATTTCAGTTAGGAAGTTTAAAACCACAACCTTTTATTATTACAACAGCTTCAATCCTGAGATACATTTTGTTGCCTCACCCTCCCTGGGCACACTCTACATATCTGATAGTTTACTTACTTGTTGGGTTTCATAAGGATGAAGAGGTGAAGTATTAACTCCCACATCTGTTAGTTCTTGATCTACCTACAACGTAAAGTCCCAAAAATATTTTCAACAGAGTATGTACATTTATTATGATCTTCACATGGAACATATTCAGAACTTTAAAGTATGACAGTGCTAGAAAAAACAACATAAAGGGAAGCAACTGTATGATGCACAGAATGGTTCTAATATTTACAAAGAAGATATTAAGGAGCTGACAGGTTACTGAAACATAGTAATTTAGAAAGATGTACCTTGGCTTTGCAGGTAGTCATTGCTTAACAACCCTAATTGGGACCGGAATTTCCATCGCTAAGTTGAAAGTTGTTAAGCAAAACATCATGTGACTGCACCGCTTAGCAATGGCAGTTTCGGTAGTCCCAGTTGTGGTAATTAGGTCAGGATCGCATTGTCATTAGGCAAGGACCTCACACTTCTCCTGCCCTGCCGCACTCACCTCTGCTTCAAGTCTCCTTACCCGCCTATCTCCCTCCATCTCTGCCCTTTTGGCTGCCCTGCACTCCACCACCCCTGCCACCCTGCACTCTGCCACCCCTGCTGTCCTGCCTTCCTAAGGCCTTGCAAGGCTTCAAAGCTGTGCGTGGCCAGCAGTTGTGAAGGGCCAGGCCGGGTGCATTTTGTCAGCAGTGGGAGGAAGAAGATGGCGAAGAATAGCGGGGGGCGGCAGGGCGGAAGAGCGCAAGGCAGTAGGGACAGTGGAGGCGGTGGAGCTTAGGACGGCAGGGTGGCACAATGCAGGGCAGCAGGGGTGCAGAGAGGAGCGCAGGGTGGCAAAAAGGGCAGAGATGAGGGGGAGATTGGCAGGGGGAGTTGAAGTGCACCACGCGGTCATAAATGTGGGCGGGCTGCCAAGCGCCCAAATTTTGATCACGTGACTGTGAGGATGCTGGAACGGCTGTAACTTTGAGGACCGAGCTTAAGTGCCATTCATTCAGCACCGTTGTAACTTCAAACGATTGCTGAACAAATTATCGTTAAGCGAGGACTACCTATATTCCATCCCAAGAAGCAGCCCAGAGAGAAGAGCCCACAATCTTTAAAGAGCTGAAATCTGTGAGGTTTGAATGTTTTTTATCTATTAGCACTGATTATTTATTTTGTTTGACTGCTGCTTTTTAAAAAAATGCATATAACAGTCCGATAATACCTAACAAGAGTCCAAAGGCAATAAATGAGGCATTGATACAGTACTCTAATTAGAGATGTGCAAAGTGTTCTGTGAATGAAACAACCAATTTGGGATAGTCCTTGCCCAGACCAAAATGCACGTATTTCATCCAGAGACAATCTCAAAATGTGTTTGGGCACAGACCCAAAACATGAGTTCTGGCAGAGGTTTTCCAAAGTGGGAGACAGTGGGAAAAATGCATCCTCATCAGATGTTGGGGATACTAGAAAGATACTAGGAGGGATGGGCTGATTTGGAAAGCAATGTTTGAATTCAAATGTCCTGGCCATGGCTAAGGGAGATAAGGGAAAGGCAGGTGCTGGAAAGGTTGTAGGAGGGCCCAGCACCAAGGCCATGTGGCAAAGGAGGAGGAAGAAGAGGAAAAGATAAGCTTTTCCTACTCATCCCAGAACAACCCCTACTCATTTTGTCTGAGCCAAACCTAAGAAATTCCAAACCACCGAGAACTATCAGGTTGAGCTTCCAACATGCAGTTGTTGTTTTAAGCACAAAACATGTTTACTGCTTTGGGCGCACTTTGATTATAATACAAAGCAGTAGAAAAGTCAGCAAGGACCCTAAGTTCAGGCTTTAGTTAACGAAGCTTATATTTTTACTGTAGTTTGACAGTGACTAGCAAACACCAGGCCTTTGAACTATGAAGGCAGAGGGCTGTAGTTATGTTGCTTTTTGTTTATGTCTTCCTGCTGGGCTAGGGACAAAGATTCTTCCCATGTTAAAGTGGGAGATGGGGTGGGGTGGGGAGCACTTCAGCTTATGGAATGAGAGTGGAACCTCTCACTGAGTTTGAGTTGAAGTCTATGTTCTCTGTGGGAAAATGTGTAACGGTAGTGGACCAAACCAAATATGGGTAAGGCAAATCATCTCTTTTTGTTATCTCCTTGTGTTCTGTCCTACCACCAAGATCTGACTCATCACTTGCAGAGGGGATCTGAAACTGAGTCACAGCTTGCTTACACCAATATACAAAAATCTATTATTTGAGCTGCACTTGATTTTTCAGTAATTAGGTATATACAGTTAGCTAACTAATATGTTTGAGATATGTCAAAATCAAGTCTATGTCTACCAGTATGATGTGCAAATCAATCCTTACAGATTCTGTTTTGGCTGAAACCCAGAACAAACAAAATGTTCTATGTTTTGTTTCTGTCAAACTACAGCCACTATAGAAAGGTTTGGCAGAAGTTTGGAAATGTGATGGTATATTTCAAGTTTGAAACAAAATATACTTTACCATTGTAGTACTGTACAGTGTATACATAAGTGGTCAAAAACTAGAAAAGGAACTAAAGTATTAGCTCATTAATATACATGACATAGACTAATGTACTTTTCTCACCTGTATAGCAATCATCCTTGAATGGGGATGGTTTCTTGCTAGAGATTTATTCTCTGTTTTTATTTTGGTAACAGAACCACATTCAGCATCATTACAATGATGATCCTCAACCTGGTCAGGATTATCTTTGCAAGTGTGAATGCCCGACTTCACTGCTATGCATGGAGTGTTCTGAAAAGCATGTACTTGATCAGCTGTAGTAAATTTATCAACAGTATACTTGCTGCGTGTCATTTCTTCTGGATCAGTATCAAGATTATAATCTGCATATATATAATTTGTTTGCTCAAAAATATCTGGCATAAGTGGCACTTGAGTAAAAACTGGAGACAGTCTCTCATTTACATATTCTGAACCAATTTCATTCAGAAATATTGCATGACTTTCAGCTACAGTTGGAGACAAAGATACATTTGCCACAGGCACAGTGTCAGTTGTCTGACTAGAAAAGGAATATGAGGAAGCAAAAGGACTAAATGAGGAGGGGCTAGTAGTCACATATTCTAAAGTATTTGTAGATACTGGAATATAAGGCTTATTAATGAAAGAGACAGGCTTAAATTCCTTAGCAGTTGGGTTTAAACTGGATTTGCTATGGATATTGTTTTCTTGACAATACAGGCCTTCTGAATAATTTTCTTGATTTTTAGTGTTTTCATCAATTCCAGTGAGTCCTGCATTTTCCTGCAGCATAACTGCATGTTTCATCAATCCAATAAGATCATCCATCATAGCAAAACGTAGAGATCCTAGGAGAAAAGATTTCAGACCACCAGCATTCTCCACTATCTTACGAGTGTCTGCAGGAAAATGTTCATATTCCCCAACTAATAGTGGATTATCAATTTCCATGGGACCATGTTCTTCCAAGATTTGAGAAAAATAGCCTGCTGAAAGTAATCAAAATATAATTTTAATATCCAAATAAGCATTATA